TTCCTTCGCAGCCCGGTCTCGCGACGCAGCTACGAGCACGTGGGGCCCCCCTGTGCAGGCAGGGTGGAGCCCCGCCGGGACCGCAAGCGCGAGGGCCGCCGCAGGCCGGGAGCCTGGAGTCGGAAGGCGACCGCTGAGAGAAGCTGAAGCCACCTGAACAGGAGAAGGTGCCCGGTGAGCAGGGAGGGGCTCGCTGGAGCCCCAAGCCCTTGCACGACCTGGGGACAGGCTGTCACGACCCAGAGGGTTACCTGCTATAGCCGCAGGGGGGCCTGTGATAGAGAAAAGCGGAAGGCTCAGTCAGCTCCGGGCGCCAGGAGGGCGAGGCGATTTGCCATCTTCCTTGAGGTCTGAGGGAAGCGCACAGGGATGATGCGTAGCTTTTTCTCTTATCAAAAATCCCTAAGCAAGCGTCTTGGTGGATGCCCTAATTCCCATGAGGGCGATGGACTAACTGGGCAGTTTAATTGGGGCAACCTGGCTGGCATTGGGCACCATGTGCAACTAGGTGATCAAGGTCCTCGTTCTTTACCTGTGAGGAAGGTGCGCAGGTGCAGGAAAGAACGTGTGGATTGAAATTTAAAGGAAGAACACAGGCAGCATAAGGGGCCTCCCACTGATGAATATTCATGACCTCTAGTAATAAAATGACGGTTAACTAGTACCAATCGCAGCTGCCACCTGGCAATCTGCCCGCCCAACAACCTTTTTGGGTGTACTTCCTTTCCTTCTATTAAATCTTCTTTTCTACCTGCTTCATTCGTGGTTGCGGTTTCATTTTGCGCCTAGAGACAGATCTGTAATGTTAGTGATCTGGATCCAGAGAACCAAGGACTTCACAACGCAGCTCGACACCTCCCATCTGTGCCAGGCACCTCCGCTGCCACAGCTGGTCTCAGCAGGCTCTGCACTCACGGGGCCGTTCCTCCGTGTGCTGGCATCGTCACACACACAGACCCGTCTGTGCCACTGTCAGTGGTGGAGCGGCTCACTCCCTGTGCTTAGGTCCCATGGGCTCACAGCAGCGAAGGCAAGGGCAGGGACGTGTGTTCAGAGCGGCAAGCTTATGTGAGCACCCCATGAGCCATGTCAGCCCCTTTTCATTTCCATGGGTCCAAGAGATGCTCACCTGCACACTGTGGGTGTTCAGCAGTGGCCACCTCTGGTTGTGACAACTGAAAGGGTCCCTGGGACAGAAGTGCCTCTCCACTGAGAACGAAGGAAGGATGAGCGAGGGCACAGACGAGTGGGCAAAGCCGGTGCTGTGCAGAGCTTGGAGCACAGGGCTGGGTGCAGGGCAGGTGAAATGCGCACGGCCAGGGCCTGGGATCGTGTCCAGGGCCCTCCCTGTGCATGGGCATGTGTGCTCTGTGACCTGAGGCTGCTGGGGTCAAGGCCATTGGTGCCGTCTCTTGCTCTGTTATGGGGCAGAGAAGTCAACAAGCCAGTGGCTCTGTTCCTGGGCTTACAGGTAAGTGGAAGTGGCACAGGTGCCCAAAGATGGACTGATGACAGGGTCCGAGCTCAGGTGCCTCTGGGGGCCTTGACTGCAGGCATTCAGTGGCTGGACCCAAGATCTGGGGCCAGGGGTGGTAAGGGTGCTGTTGCTGCAGAGGAGTGCTGAGGTGAGCTGGAGTCCAGGTTGGACTCCTGCAGCAGGGACAGTGTTCTGGCAGTGGCCCCGAGGACCTGGGACATGGCACCTATGTTGCCAAGGTGGCCCCGGGCTGGGGGGAGGGGACTTGCCTGTACCCCAGACTGCAGGGAGGTAGACAGCAGTCAGTGGGTCAGAAATAGACGTTTACTGAGAAGAGAGCTCTCCAGGAGGAGCCTGCAGTGAGGGCCCAGGGAGCCCAGGACAGCTGTTGAGGCTTGGAGCTGGAGCTGCAGGAACTGCACAGGAGACACTTAACCCAAACATGGGGGGCTGGCCCCAAACCTTACATCACCAAAAGAGCTCACAGACATCAGCCCACCAGACGGTCCCGCTTTTGGACGTGCAGAATAACAGCAGGCAGCCCTGCTGCTGAACACGGGGCTGGGACCATGCGGTCCGGCTGTTCAAGGCGCCGGCCACTGCGACTGGGCCTGCGTGTGTGTGCGTGGGGGGCAGAAATCCAGGTGTTGCCCTCACGGGGAACCACAGCTGGGAGAATGCAGGCGTGAGCACTAAAGCTCAGAACCCATGGCCGGGGCGGCCACGTCCCAGCCCCTGGAGCTGTCTGCAGGGACACCCGCAAGGCAGCATGTGAGTGGGGGTTCTGGTCAAGGTGAGTTGATGGGAGAGCTGCTCATCCGCCTGGTTCTCAGAACCCGCTGCTGCAGCTAGAGAGCAAGTGCCAAGGTCCCAAAGGCACGAGCTAAAGCCTGGGTGTGGCTCCTCACCTGGCTAAGTGGGTCTGCCGTGGGCCCAGTGCCCACCCTTCCCTTCTGGCTGGCTTTCCCCTGGTCCTCTGCTGTCCTGCTGACCATGGACGCCCCCTGCCCACTGCCGCTTGGTTCCGTCGGGCCATGAACACTGTGCCTGGTCCTCCCGGTGCTGCGGCCGCCTTCCTCAGCAGTGGGTCTTGGTGTCTCAGCTCAGGGCCAGACTGCGGTCCCACAGGAGAGGCTACCAGGAACAAAGCCCAGGTACACCCTGGCATCCCCAGGAAATACAGGTGGGCCTGCCAGAGCAGTGATGCTCAGCTGCAGCACCCCTACCATGGACCAAGGTGGGCTGTGCTGTTGCAGGGCTGGGGCTGTGGGGCTGGCACCACTCCCTGCATGCTCACTGCCTCACCACGCGGGCACGGAGTCCTGCTGGGATGCACTGGCACAGCTTGGTGCGCACAGTGTTGATGCCAGGACGCACGGCAGCGCCAAGCTGTGGTATCCCAAGGCCTGGTTGGAGCTGCTGCACGGTGAGCGCCTCTCAGGACGGGCACACGATGGCTCTGCAGCAGCTTGGGTACCAGCTCGGCCTGCACGGATGTGGCTGGTGGGAAGCGTCTGAGCACCTGTGCGGGGAGCCCAGGGAGGCTGCCTGCAGGCCTTCCTAGCTTCCTGTGTCCTTGTGCTCACAGCTCTCAGCAGGGGGCTGGGAGCCTGCCGCTCTCCACCAGGTGTCCTTCCTCCCCCTGCCTCCTTCAAGCTAGCAGTGTAGAGCAGCCGGTTCTGGGTTCTGACGCTGGGGGCCCTCTGCTCTGACGGCCTGAAGAGGGTGAGAGACGTCTTCGCTGTAAAGCAGTCACTACCTCGTTCCTTTGTTGGGAAAAAGAAAACTGAAGTCAGGATAGGTGGGAACTGTGCCTGCCGCGGGGGATGGCCAAGAGGGTTTTGAGAACAGTCAGTGGGAGAGCGAGAGCTTGTGGCATGAGGCCCGACCTGGAGGGCGGCAGCTCACGGGGAAGCGCTTCCTGCCCACTGAAGATGCAGGAACGACACCCAGCTCAGGCCCAGGTCTGCACGGTACCCCGGGGCCCCAGCCACCAGCACCTGTCTCCTTAGTGCTGGGCTGAAGGTCCATGGCTGGGTGTGTGGCCATGGCCCTCCCTGTACCCTGTTGCTACGATGGACACTCAGTCACTCGTAGTCTCTCCGGGGTCACACGCGTGATGTTACTGCCCCCTCTCTGGCACAGGCACGTGCCTCTGCAGGGTAAGCAGACATGTCACTCCTGGGTGGGCAGAGAAGCCTGTTCTCAACTGACCAGGACATGCCAGACTCTTCCAGAGCCTTCCCACTGCCTGGCTCTCCATTGGCACCTCATGAGGGATGACTGGACATTTTTTGCTGTGCTGCTGGGTATAAAACTGCCTATCTTCTTCTAAAATTGTTAATTGCCAGGACCAGCAGATGGCATAATGGTTACGTCTCTGGATTCCCACAGCGGCTTAAATCTATGCCAGGTGCATGTGCGTGCGTGCCCATGATCCCGAGAGGAGAATGGATTGAGGCGTGGCCACCGCCCTGGGGGGCGATTTCTTGCTTCCTGTCTCTCTGTCTCTCCAGTGAGTGCACACGCCCTACAGCAAAAATCTCTCTCTCAAAAAACAAAAACAAAAACAAACACAAAAAAACGGGCAGTGTGTATCAGGGCTGTGGCGCTGCGCTATGTGCGGCGTCCCCTCTCCTGCGCAGCTGCGGCTCGGGCTGTCGGTGCTCAACGAGACCAAGAGCTACAGAAAGAACTAGAAGAAGTAAAGGTGTTATTGGAAAAGGCCACTAGGAAAAGAGTACGTGATGCCCTTACAGCTGAAAACTCCGACATTGAGACAGAAATCGAGAACCAGATGCAACAGAAATCACAGGAAAACCAGAACTTCCTGACCGTGAAAAGCCAGCTGCTGCGGCTGCTCCCGTTACACCAGGATTTGCAGCGGAAATCAGTCATTATGGGTGGGGACGGTCACGTAAGGTTGTGGAAATCAACATTACCTTAACTGGATTCATCAAGTTCCCACTGAGAACGTTCAGGTGCATTTCACAGAGAGGTCATTTGATCTTTTGGAAAAGAACCTAAATGGCAAGAGTACTCCACGATGGTGAACAATCTTTTGAAACCAGAAGGCAGTTCAAAAAAAGTTAAGACTGATACGGTTCTCATATTATATAGAAAGAAAACAGAACTCACACGATGGGACTACCTGACCCAGGTTGAAAAAGAGTGCAAAGAGAAAGAGCCTTGCTGCGACACTGATGGGGATCCTAGTGCGGGACTGATGCTGTTCTAAAGAGAACTTACCAAGGTGCAGATGATGATATGAAGCGAACCAGCAAAGCCTGGGTGGGATCAGGAGGGAAGCAAGCCAAAGGAGAACCAGAATTTTGAGACTTCAAGTCCTCTCAGGAACGGTGATGTGGAAATTCTGTTTTCAATAAGGGACTGTTGGTGAGCAGCACATAGAAATCGACAGAGAACTATGTACACAGCCTTCCAGAAAAGACAGCGAATTCTCCATGTCCTACTGGAGAGTTTATTTAAATACAGTATGCTTATTAAACACGTCCTCCAAAAATGGTTTCACTAGCACCCTGCCCATTTTGTTCAAAAAAAGGGTTATATTGCATTATTTGGAATCATGGAAGTGCTCTGTATTTTTGCTCAGCTAAGAGATAGAAAACACAAGTATTTGTTTGCCTTTAAGCTAGTGACATCAATTCTAGTGTAAGAATAAGAAAGTACAAAACTTGAATTTTTACAGAAAATACGAGTTTGTACTTGTACTTGGAAGTTGATTTCTTACCAGTCGCAAGGCATTACCATGTTCAGTAATTCAGTGACAGATGATCCCGTGTGTTTAAATATATTTGTCTACGCACCTAGAGAACTGAAACTAAGTAGAAACTTGACAAGAATAGACAAGCATTTTTGTATATACCAGTTAGAAAGTTTTGCCATGGGTCTGAGGGGTTATAAAAGTAATAACTATAAAGCTAAAATAATTAACTTGAAAATCCATCCATTCCTATATTCAATAAAGTTAGACTTTTTAATTCAAACACACACACACACACACACACACACACACACACGAAGACATGTTACTTGCCAGAGGGTGCATGCACTCATCAGAGTGAACAAGAGCGTGCGTGTGGGCGCAGCCGGGCGTGGCTATGCCGCAACCCTGTCCTCCACGTCTCTTTCCCGACAGGATCCTTCTAGCTGCCAGTGGAAGTGGGGCCGGGGTGGGCCATGTGGGACCGGCTTTTCTGTGCATGCCACTCAACCACTGCTATGGAGCTGCCCTCTCGCCTTTTCAACTTCCACTTCTTTTTTTTTGGAGAGGTTTTTGCCATAGGGCGGTGCGCTCGCCAGAGAGATAGAAAGCGAGAAATCACCCCCCAGGGGGGATGGCCACGCTGCAATCCCTTCTCCTCCATTCTCCTCTCGGGATCTTGGGCACGCACGCACACGCGTCCGGCGTGAGTTTTAAGCCACCGGGTCTGGGACGCGAACCACGGTTGACTACGTGGGAGTCCAGCGACATAGCCATTACGCTAACTGCTGGTCCCTCAACTTCCACTTCTTGATGATTATGGAGACTGAGGAACCTTTTCATGTATTTATGTGCCATTCACTTTTTTAAAGTTTCTCTTTGAGCAAGAGACACATATAGCACCCCAGCAGGGCCCTGACACCCTGATCCACCGCCAGCCTCAGGCAGGGCCAGACTGAGCCGGAAGCTATCCACGTAGGCAGCCTCACCACTGCACACCCTGGCCCCTTCCCGTTCTCCGAAGTGCCTTTCTGGATCTGCTCGCCATTTTTCTTTTCTAACTTGCCAGAAGGCATGTGTGCCGGAGGGTGGCCATGCTATAACCCCTTCTCCATTTCTCCATCTTGGGGGAGTTCTGGACACACATGCACATGCTCTTGGCATGTTTTCCAGTTCCTGGGGCCAGGAGCTGAGCCACAGGCTGCCACATGGCACCCAGCTCCCTGAAGCACCAGGCCACGGGACGGCCCACGGTTACCTGCGTCTTGACCTGTCCCGTGAACGTCGGACTTGGCGTTCTGCACGCCGTCTCGACAGTGGCTGCAGGTCCTTTATGCTCGTTTTCTTTGAATTAGTTCATTTTCCTCTGACCACGTAGCTCCCACCGCAGAGCTCTCGTACCTGCTGGGCTGCGTGTTCTCACCTTTCCAATCTCCTGTGTGGCCGAGCTTACCCCCTTCTCATTCCTAACGGCATAGTTACTGTTTTCTCCTCAGACGTTTGGCAGGAATGTCAATGTTAACAGCCCTTCCAAAAACTTTTTAAGAGATTTTTGCTATAGGGCACATGTGCTCACTGCAGAGACAGACAGAAAGCGAGAAATCACCTCCCAGGGGGATGGCCACGCCACAATCCCTTCTCCTCCATTCTCCTCTCGGGATCTTGGGCACGCACGCACACGTGCCTGGCATGAGTTTTCCACTGGGTCCAGGACTCGAACTGCGATCAACCACGTAGGAGTCCAGCAAGATAACCATTATGCTATCTGCTGGTCCCTCACAAACCTTTTATTCCCCCCAAGATAATTTTTACTGTATTTTTGCCACAGGGCGTGTGTGCTCGCCAGACAGAGAGAGAGAGACAGAAAGCGAGAAATCACCTCCCAGGGGGATGGCCACGCTGCAACCCCTTCTCCTCCGTTCCCCTCTCGGGATCTTGGGCACACACACACGTGCCTGGCATGAGTTTCAAGCCACTGGGTCCAAGACGCGAACCATGGTTGACCACATGGGAGTCCAGCAACATAGCCATTACGCTAACTGCTGGTCCGCCCCCCAAGAGAATTTTGCTATAAGGGCACATGTGCTCGACCGAGAGACAGAAAATGAGAAATCACCTCCCCGGGGGATGGCCACACTGTAATCCCTTCTCCTCCATTCTCCTCTCGGGATCTTGGAGGCACGCACATGCTTGGTATGCGTCTCGAGCTGCTAGGCCCAGAACTCCAACTGTAGTCAACCATGTGGGAGTCAGTGATGTAATCACTTCGCCATCTGCTGGTCCCCAAAGCACTTTGTAATTCCTTCAAAGGATCTGTCCCCACAAATTCCATTAATTCTCTCTGTCCCATACTGCTGTTCTGTAACTCAAAGGCTGAATCCTCAGGTCCCGGTTCCTCCTTCTCCACGTCCGTACACTACGAAGCTTTTCTGCCTGGTGCCATTCTAACGTCACATCATGGTGGCACCTCAGGAAAGTAAGAAATGAGCCTGCTGTCTGCACCAAAAGATAGGCTTTTGGTTTGAATGTGTGATTTTTCCAACTATAACTATTTTTTTAAAGAGGTTTTTGCTATACGGTGCGTGCGCTCACCAGAAAGACAGAGAGAGAGAGAGACAGAAAGCAAGAAATCACCCCCCAGGGGGGATGGCCACGCCGCAATCCCTTCTCCTCCATTCTCCTCTCGGGATCTTGGGCACGCACGCACACGTGTCCGGCATGAGTTTAAGCCACCGGGTCCGAGACTCGAACCATGGTCGACTACATGGGAGTCCAGCGACATAGCCATTACGCGAACTGCTGGTCCCTATAACTGTATTTTAAAGAAAGTCCTGGGGCTGGCAGGTGGTGTGGTGGTTAAGGGTGTTGGACTCTCACATGGCTGACCACAGTTCAAGTCCCAGACCTGGTGGCATGTTTTCTCACTTTCCCTCTCTCTCTCTTACTCTGTTCCTCTCTGGTCAAAATTTTAAATAATAAATAAATAGATAAAGTTAAATTAAAAAATAAGTAAAGTCTCTAAGCCAGCAGGTGGCATAGAGGTTAAGGTGGCTGGATCCCACGAGGCTGACTGTGTGGTTTGAATCCCGGACCCTGCTGCTTGAAATAAACATGTTGGGGTGTGTGTGCGTGCTTGCAAGCCTGAGAGGAGAATGGAGGACAAGGGACTGCAGTGTGGCTACCCCCGGGCGTGGCTTCTCACTCTCCCTTTCCAGCAAGCACACATGCCCTGTAGCAAACTGAAAAAAACAAATCTCCAAGTTTGAGCCTCCTATTTTTCATGGCGATTATGCTGAAATTAGCCCTGTCTTTTCCTGGGGGGAACCAAGGCCGACAGCTTGTCTCCCCTGTCCCTTCCCCAAAGCACACACTCCATCTCAAGAGCGCTGAGGGCTGACAGGTGGCATGGTGATTAAGGTGCTGGACTCCCACGTGGCTGACCATGGTTCAAGTCCCGGACCCAGTGGCTTGCTTTCTCACTCTCACACCATCTCCCTGGTCAAATTTAAAAATAATAATAAATGAAACAAAAGGAATAATTTTAGGGGGAAAAGAGTGCTCTGAGCGCAGCAGGTGCTCACGGTTGCTAAGCAGCTAGTACACCAGAACAGGACTCCTGCTGCGTCACTGAATCTCTGGGACCCCGGGAGTGGGTGCCCCCACTTCACGTCTGAGCAAACGAATGCAAGGAGTGATTGACAGGCCGAAGGGCCAGGTGAGGACTGGCCTGAGAGCCTGTGTGCTTTGCTACCTCCTTCCTTTCTGGAAACCAAAGGCATGAGATTAAAATGAGCCTCTGTTCTCTGAAGCAGCAGGGCCGAGACAGCCACCTGGCACACCCGGGGCACCGTTTGGTGATAGGTCACTCTGCGTGCAGGGACTGCCCTGCTAATCCTGAAGGTGGAGGAGATGGTTATTGAGGCTTGTTCACAGTAACCTAAACCAGAAAGCCTCCGTGCTGGGTCAGGAAACCAGGAAGCCGACTCTGGCTGTCCCGCTCAACGACCCGTGATGCCTACTACCTGTCACCCCACAGGCAGTCAAGACCCAGCCAGGTGCCCCTTCCAGGGCGAGTGCCGTGCCCATAGCCCGACTCCCACAGTCTGCCTTTGGCGGACATGCAGCTTTGAAGGATGGGGTATGCAGGGACCAGAGTGAGCACCCACGCTCCTCGGCCAGAACAGGAGGCCGACACCCAGGATAAACACCACCACCTGTCACGAGCACTGTTCCTGGAACGGGGCCTTGACCGTCTGTTGGGGCTGTAGCTGCCGCTGCATCATGCTGCCAGTCATGCACTGGGAGTCACAGGCCAGCCTTCGCGAGGCATGCCAGGCGCTGCTCCAGATCTGTGAGCGACTGCCAAGCTCAGCACATGCACGCATTGGTGGCTCCATGTTTCAGCTGTGCATGGAGTACACAGCAGACAAGGCGCACAGGTGACCGGCTGGGACACGCCAATGCTGCACTGCCACCTGGTGGACGGTCTCCAAACCGCCAAGACGCCTGCCTGGGAAGAGTGGCCCATCACACCCCCACTGCCCGGACTGTGAGTCCTGCCCTCCAGTAACAGCTGTCTGAGGTTGTCCCCCGGCTGGGGCAGCCCTCGAAGGCAGGAAGGCCCAGGAGGGGGCCTTGGGCCCAGGTCTGCCCCGTGGGAGGCAGCGCCCACCTAGGTCACCCGCAGTACCCAGGAATAGCTGGACGGGCCGAGAGCAGGGGCTGACTGCGACCCTAGGGACTGTGGGAGAGCAGCCTCCTCGGGAGCCGCACGTGCCCAGCAGTGCAGGACGTGGCCGTCGCGCCAGGGGCACGTGGTGCTACCGATATGCAGGCCTGCCAGGCAGCTGGCCCACCTCTCTCAGAGGCCACGAGGGCCATGGGCTGAGGGGCCAAGGTGCTGTGGTGTACCTGACTGGCTGAGCCGGCTGACCCTGCAGGACGCCTGACGTGTGAGAAGGGGCGGCGTGATTCCAAACTACACAGGAGCACACAGGTGGCCACGGCCCCAACAGAATGGGGTGAGCACACGCACGTGGCCACGGCCACACGAACACAACGTGTTGCGTGGGGAGTGGGTGCGAAGACCCCGTGGGGAGTCCCTCACTCTGGCGGGCTGTGCTGGGCCGCGATCCAGGAAGGCTGATGGGGCCAGAGGCAGAACTCCTGGGGTTTCATTTGGTTTTGAGGCTCAGGTGAATTTCGTCTCCTAGTTCAGCTGCTTCCGTCTTTCCACAGGGAAGGGGAGTGGAGCAGGCAGCAGCGACTCACCAGTGTGTCCTCTTTGGGAAATGGGTACGAGGGGCAGAAGTCGAAGAGCCTGTCCACAGCCAGCTGGTCTTGACGGCTTCTGGGCTCCCATCAGCCAGAGTGAGCTCTCAGTCAGGCAGCCAGCGTGAGCTAGTGAGAAGAAACTGCTCTCCCAGGGTGCAGGTCTGCACCTCAGCCCGGTGAGGCCGCGGCACAGCGGCGGGCGGGGACTGCTGGCGCAGCAGGCATCCCAGCGAGTGCTCTCGGGAGGTCCCCACTGAGGTGCCCTGTGCTGCTCTCCGCCATGGGGTGCCGCCCTCCTCGGCTCTGGGATGGTCTGACGGGCAGGCCTGCCTCTGCTCTGACTCAAGGCCTTCCTTGAGATGAAATCCCCAAAGACTAAGGCCACTCATTTTTTTGTGTCCAAACCATTGCAAATACAGTGCCAACATTTCCCCAAAAAAGGCCAGGTCACTTCCGAGTCGCTGTGTGCCCCGAAACATGTCACAGTGCTCTAGAGGGCCCCACGCAGACCATGCCAGGGCGGTGTGGCCACAGAGACTTACTGCCCTCCCTGTCCCCAGTCAGGCTAGAAAAGTGGCATGACTCAAGTGGAGGCCAGGTTGAGCCTCCTCCAGTGGCCACATTCCAGGCCCTGAGAACCTGGGTCCACAGAGGTCCACCCACTCACACAGGTCAGGATGGGGAAAGTCCACAGCACGGCCCGGTTCCAGGGACGGGACGGGCTCAGGCTGCTGGCACGAAGCGACGACAGGCCAGTCCCTGAGGCGCTCGGCTGGGGCAGTGGGTCTGTGCAGTCCAGTGGCCCCAGAGCTTGTGTGGGTGCCGCTGTCCAGCTCCGGCCTGAGTCTTCAGAGGTGCAAGTGAAAGGCCAGAGAGGGACACCACTCTCTCCTGGCCGTTAGCAGGCATCCCGTGCTGAGCCACCCAACGCTCTGAAAACAGCCACGGGGCAGGGAGCCTGAAGGCGCTCCCAGCTATGATGTGTGGCTCGCGAGAGGGCCTCTGCAGCAGAATGGGCTCTCGCTCTGGGAGCGCAGCATCTGCCAGGGCTAGTTTTCCTGTGGGCGAGCAGGCACCATGAGGGGCCAGGACACTAGTGCTTTCTCCGCGGGTGGCGCTTCCGGTGGCGAATCAGGCAGGAGCTGTAGGTGAAGGCCTTCCCGCATTCCCCGCACTCGTAGGGCTTCTCCCCGGTGTGCGTCTTCTGGTGCTTCAGGAGGTTGGAGCCGCAGTTGAAGGCCTTCCCGCACGCCCCGCACTGGAAGGGCTTTTCGCCGGTGTGCACCCTCTGGTGCTTGGTGACATCGGAACTGTGCCGGAAAGTCTTCCCGCACTCCCCGCACTGGAAGGGCTTCTCCCCGGTGTGCACCCTCTGGTGGCGAATGTGGTCTGTCTTGTGCTTGAAGACTCGCCCACACTCCCCGCACTCGTAGGGCTTCTTCCTCTGAAAAGGGACGAACACAGGCACACCCTGGAAATCATCCTTGAACGCAGCATCGAAGGCTTCGAAGATGTGCTCCTCGTCCTCGGGGCTCAGGCTCGGCTCCTTGCTGTGCCTCCTCCCTGACGCTGCCCTCCTGCTGGGCTGCTCCCCACATGCCCTCTCTGCCTTCAGCGTGTCCTGCACCTCTGCTTCCCCCTTGGGGGATGGGGCCTTCTTTTTCCGGACTGCAGGCTTCTCCATCTTCCTCAGAGTGAGGAGGAAGTGGCCCTGGAAGCAGGTGAAGGCTTGGGTTCGCAGCTCTCCAGTCCACTGGCAGTCAGAGGCCCAGCCTTGCTGGGATCCGCCCTTCCGGCCTGGGCTGCTAGAGAAAAGCAAGACCATGGCCATTACTATGGGTCTTTCTGGGCTGCGAGGCCAGGGGCACAGCCCCCTCCCCCCTCCCCACGGGGGTATCCAAAGAGCAGCTCAAACTGAATTCAAATCCCACTTTCCTTGCTCCCCATCCCCGGAGCACTCTTTTGTGGTTCTTCTTAGGGATCATGCAGCTGCTAAGCCAGGACTGCCGTCTGCCCTATGGGAACACGGACGGAGTCTGCGCAGGTGCCTGGCAGGACTGTGCAGCAGGGACCATCAGCTGCCTCACTTCCCAGACCGGCCTCTCCCAGCCCTTTCTCCTCCTTCCCTGCTGTCCTGTGTGTGGGGCTGGGGTTGGGGCCAGGAGGAGCAGGCTACAGGAAGGTGCCATCTGGGCCTGGACTCCTGAGCCTGGACTCAGGTTGGAAGGAACCATCGTAGCTGCCCCTGCTTAGACCCCAAGGTGACCCCTGCTCGCGGCCCTCCTTGTCTGCCCAATCCCTGCCACCTGCTGAGCCCACCCAGCCTGTCATCCTCAGACACACCCAATCCCCGGCTTCCCTTACCCGGGCTCCTATCTGGACATGCATGTGCCCTCGGCTGCTGTGCCACCTGGCCCAACACGCTGCACGGCTCCTGGCGCAAGGTGCTCCACAGAAGTGTCCACTGAATGACAAAAATTAAATCAGAAGCATGCAGGACCAGCAAATGACATAGCAGATTACATTGCTGGATTCTCACATGGCTAACCACAGTTCAAGCCCTGGATCGGTGGCTTGAAAGTCATGCCAGATGCATGTGTGTGCACGCCCAAGATCCTGGGAGAATAGAGAAGGGTTGCAGTGTGGCCATCCCCTGTGAGGTATTTCTCACTTTCTCTCTCACTGTCTCTCCCTCTCCTGTGAGTGCACGCAGCTTAAGGTAGAAACCTCTTAAAACCAAATGAAACGAAACAAATGCTTGACAGACACAAGGATGTAAAATTCTCTATTGAAAATGGCATACAAGGTAACATCCCTGATTTGGTTGTCCAAAACTAGATAAGATGGAAAAAACCCACATACACCATTGCTTAGAGAGTGCATGCCTGGTAGCAAATGCTGCAGCCTGGGCCTGCTTCCCTGCCTGAGCTGCTGGAGCCGGGCCTGTACAGACCTAAGGCCCACACCCGGGGAGCACAGCTCAGAGTGGGCCAAGTGTCTGTCCATGCAGGGACTCTCCTACAGAAAGGAAAGCCCTGGGACCAGCAGTTAGCATAATGGCTATGTCGCTGGACTCCCATGTAGTCGACCGCGGTTCGTGTCCCAGAACCGGTGGCCTAAAACTCACGCCGGGCGCGTGTGCGTGTGTGCCCACGATCCCGAGAGGAGAATGGAGGAGAAGGGATTGCAGCACAGCCATCCCCCCTGGGGGTGATTTCGCACTTTCTGTCTCTCTGTGTCTCTCCATCTTTCTGGTGAGCGCACGCGCCCTATGGCAAAAACCTCTCCAAAAAAAGAAAAAAAAAAAGGAGTGCCCCGACCAGACCCGCCCACCCTCAGCACAAATCCAGAGAAACTGTGCAGCGGCAGGAAGTGACAGGCCAGGCTGTGTCGGAGGGAGCAGCGCTCATGGCTCATCCCGTGACCTGCCCTGCTCCCCCTTCAGGGCTAAGACTCCAACCGAAGGCTGGAAGCCCCCTTCCAGCGGTTAGCCAGAGGCTCACCTGCCCTTAGAAGGAAGTGCTCCTCCCTCTGCGGCTCCGGGGCACCGGGCAGTGTGCTGAGCCCTGGACCCGTGCATGGACACTACGCTTCAGCAGAGGCCTCAGCCCAGGCTCAAGGATGGCTGGGTCTTGCCTCCTTCACCCAGGACGTGGCGCTCTGGCAACACCTTGCAGGTGCCCTGCACTGACCCCTGGGCTACCTGCTGGAGTCCAGCTCAGCAGGAGCTGCAGGCAAGACCCGTCTTACCCGACATGGGCTTCAGCACACAGACCTCTGGATCCTCCTCCAGGCGAGAGGGCTGTCCCGCCTGACCTTGCGAGAATGAACCGAGTGCACAAGGACACGTGGCTCTGTGCGCCTGGGCTGGACCCGGGCCACTGCCGAGCTCAGGCCCCTCTGTAGGCAGGTTCTGGGAGGCAGCTTCAGTAGAGCCAGAACCGAAGCTGAAGGACAGTGCGGAAACAAGGTGGCACCTCTGCTAGGATGGGCAGGGCTGCCCTGGTGACAGGGCAGAGGGTCACAGGCCCAGGTAAGTAGGCTGGAGCCTGAGGCCTGAGGCCCTGTGTTAGCAGGGCACAAAGGTGGCAGCCAACCACCGGAGGGGGGGCAGTGAGGGTGCTGCTGGAGGCCCCGTGGGGTGCCCCAGTTCACAGCCTGGGTCTGCCTCACCACACCAGGTGTGTCTGTGGCCTGCCGGGCGGGGTGGGGCTGGGCTATGGTGTGGGACCCTGTCCAGACTGCCTCTCTCGCCAAGGAAATAAACACACCGAAAAAAACAGCAGGACCAACTAGTGGTTAAGGGAGCTGGACCCCACGTGGTGTGGTTGGAGTCCCAGATCTGGTGGCTTGAAAACACGCTGGGTGCGTGTGCACGTGTGCCCCAAATCCCCACAGGATGGAGAGATGAAGAGGGATTGTGGCTGACCCCACTGGGGCACCTTGTCCCTGTCTGTTTCTGGATTACAAACAAAAAAGAACCACAGAGGGTGCAAGGTGGGGGGATGTCGCAGCCCAGGACAGAGGTGGCTGTGCCGAGTGCCCTCGCAGGGAGTGGGCTGCAAACCACGGAGCCTGACACCTGCTGGAGTAGCCGGCGCGCTCCACAGCACTGTTCCCTCCACTGGGGCCTGTCACTCCCTTGTGGCCTTTCAGGGGCGTGCCAGCGTCTTTACGCGCCCGGTGAGGGTCCTGTCACGAGGGTGCGACCTGCACTGAGCTCAGGGTCACTATGACAAAGTTCCTCTGCCGGCTCGAGCCGGCGGGCCTAACGACTGC